CAGTAAGCCTAATGCTTTGGCCAACGCTTCTATTCTTCGTCGCAATAATCTTCAGATGAGTAGCATATCTAGATTATTGCAATAGGAACAAGGTGCTAACAAGGAAACGAAGCTGTCGGCCAAACCCCTTCGCCTTGCTCAGTTGCCCTTCGATTCCATGTGTTATGCAAATACCCCGTCTCTTGAGTCCAGTTTCCCCTCCGTGATATTTAACGTGGTGATTAGAAATGAAAAGGGGATTGTTCTTTGTGTCTCAGAAATTATGCGGCGGAAGCTTGGATTTGCAGCCGGGTTTTTTCGCGGTTTGTTTTTTTCTTAACTTTTTAGTTCTGCGCTTCTTTTAAAGGATTGTTTATTAGTTTGGGCGAGAACTACTTCGCACAGACCGCCGGCCGTCCTCCTCTTCGCTACAAGATACACACTCATATCATAAATCAAAACTATTCATTTTTCATCTGCTACATATATGCATACATATAATAGATAAAAATAATTGTGGAAAAATAATAAAAAATAACGACTTTGAGAAAAATAATGAAGAAAAATGATTTTGGGAAAAAGAGTTTTGAGAAAAATAATAAAAAATACGCGTATTTCTTTAAACTTGCTTTTATTCACTACCAATTGGAAATCTCCTGGAGCCTACCATATTGCGATCGTTATCCTTATAAATAGGAATTCGCGTGCGACCCTTCGCAGCAATTGTTTTCAGAAGCGCTTTGTCAATGATGCTTTCGTCGGAGAGCATGAAGATCTTATCGATGGGTGTCATCACCGTTTTAACAATCTTTTCCGGTAAATCGAATGCCGCCAAAACCAAATCCGTTGTATCGCCGCTCATTTTCTCGAGTAATTTCGCTGCAGTTGAGAGATTATTGCGGTCATTATTGCTTTTTATAAGTATAGCTGCAGAAACTCAGAAAATGCCAGAAACGTTTTGATGAACTAAACGCAAAATTTCACAATCTTAACCAAAAAAGACAAAGTCAGCTGGGTAAGTTGAATTGCAGAAAAAACTCGTTTCAGCAATTGCAACAGTAAGAGCTAAAACATTGGATTTGATGTGAATAAAATCTGAGGAAAACAGAATGCACTGCTTCGTTCTCACTTCCTCATTTGCACCCTCCATTTTTTAAAATCGAAATTCTATTGATTTACTGATCCACGTTTCAGTCAGAACTTTTTCGCATTTTTCCTAATGTTTTACGCAAAAAAGTGCAAAATCTCTACGATGACATGAAAACTTACCTTTGTAATCTCGTTGCATGGTAATCATTGCGCGTAGTGTTTTTCGATCATATACATCACGACTTTCTTTGCCAACGGTGCAGTCCAGTACGAGCGAAAATGGAAAGGAAATGGGCGAGAAAAGTACCATGAAAAAAACCGTCAAATAGCGTGTTCGGCTACCGACGCTTAGGCCATGCCTGAGATTTGTGTATTATCATGTTAGAGGCGTGTAGCTTAATGTAGGAGCTAAATCTAGCATTCCACTAAAACCAGTGTTGATAATAACTAGAAGGAAGTGAACGTTCATTTTACGACTGGAGGACCCGTAGACAGTGATAACTGCCAAAATTCCAGCTTGATAGCTTCTGAGGATCTGAAAACTGAAATATGCGAACAGATAGAGACACACAAGCAGACAGCCCCCTGCATGTTTTTGCATTGCATAGATACAATAATTGGCCAACGCACGGGCTGTCCGTGCGAAGATGCGTTTTTTGCAGAGTTCCCCGCAGT